CTGCTGCACCCACCTCCTCCCAGACTTGCCCTCCCCATCCCCCCCAGGGCCTCCCTTCCGCACCCACCTGGAGTCAGCCTCCACCTTGGAAAACACAGACCAGGGGAGGCACCAGCACCAGGGAGTCTAACGCTAATCACTGGAAGATGGGCTTGTTTATTTGCATGGCACGCGCTTATCTCTGACTGTTTTATCCACCCCCTGAGCCAACCCGACTTCCCAATTCGTCCTGCCGGCGCAGGGAGGCCAGATTGGCGGCTCCCACATTCATAGAAGCCCAATACACGCTTCCAATTATCTCTTAATTTTGCTCCTGTCTTCATTTGTTCGTTTCACTTTTTCCAAACAGCCTGGGTTGCGGGGGGCGGGGGGGAGGAGCTGTAATTTATGGAGTTGGAAGCCAGCTCGCAAGAGGGTGGTGTTCACCTGCGGGATGCAAGGAGACCGCGGGGCAAAGCGGAGGCTCGCTCCCCGCCACCCTGCACGGGAGCTCACGGTCTCTTAGAGGCCCCACGTCCTTGTTCTTGCATCTTCCGGTCTTCTGACTCTCTGGAGTAACTATATCTTCTTATTTTCTCTATTCTTGCCGCTGAGGTCCTGCTGAGCGGAGGGTGAACTCCTAGAGGGAGCAAAGGGCTCACCTGGGCGGCACTTTTCATATACAGACGAAGCAGTCCAAAACTCAGCCACAAGCACCTCTTTCATCAGACTCTCAAGAGGCTCTTCTACACCAGGGCCTACATTTGGCTGTGCCAATTGCCCCAGGACCAGGCATGAGACACATGAAGACAGCCCCGGGGTCCCCTGACATTATTCGCACTGTCTGGTCCACCCCTTCCTATGAAAACCAGAATGAGGCTCCTAGACTGTTCTCTTGCTCCGTGTGCCTCCCTCCTGACCCTGGTGGCTGCCACGTGGCCCTGCAGGGTGTGGGCTGGGGGACCCTCTTGGAGATTTTGAGCAGCAACTATCTTTCCGTGTGTGGCATGCATCCCCCAGAATGGATGGCGGGAAGCCTCATTGAATCTATTCAGTCTGTGTTCCGCTGCTCTGCAGGTGTTACTTCTGCCCTCAAACAAGGGGCTGTTGCAGGAAATGCCACGCCAGGAGGCAAATCAGGGCCATCTGACACCCCACCCCGGCACACACGGGCCGCCCCTGCCCACATCCAACCTGGAGATCTCCCCACGCCATCATGGCTGTTGTAACCCTGTACGCTCAGATCTGCTATTTCTCTCCCCTTGGCCTTCCCCGTTCTGGCCACGTCCACGCTCTGGGCCATCCCAGCACGCTCTCCCATGGAAATCCTGCCCGACGAGCCTCATCTCACCCCCCCTCCTCCCTGCTCATCTTCCAGAGTCTTCCGGAGCCTGTAGTCTGCCATGGTGTCTGGGCCACGGGTGTCTCTATAACCCTTGTCACTGCAGCAGCATAGGGCCTGGTACACGGTAAGCACCTGGTGAGTATTTGTCCCATCAATCAGTCTACACCCCCCTCCCACCTTTATCAATACGCAATGCCAGACACCTCTTTCTGGAATATCTTTTGACCTCTATTCTGATGCCCTGGTTCTGGCGTCCCCGGCTGTCCCCCAGCCCATTGTACTTGGTTACAAATGAGTCACCTCATTAATTTTCCTCCATGATACGTTGTGACTGATCATATCTCGGGTACACGCTCCATCTCACAGGCCAGGGTATAAGTCTTCCCAGGGTCGGGGATGGTGTCTTCTGCTCCCAGCGACCCCCAACCATCCCCTGCCACCCCGGGGACTGGTTCGGCCACAGCCAGTGCCCAGGAGCAAGTTTCCAAAGGGAGAGAGTGGTTGTCCGACTCGAAGGGATTAAGCTGAAGCCACAGAGAGAGTGCGTCCTACGGTGGGGACTCTCCTGGGTGGGAGGCAGCACACCAAAGGGGCTGACACCTGCCACTCGGTGGCATCAGAAAGGACAATGCCAGGTCACTGCATTGTCATCAAAGGGGGCAGGCCAGCCATAAATGTTCCTTTCTCCAGCGGTATGAGAGCCCCAAAGCCACCCCTACTACTGGAAGGGTAGCTTGGCCAGCAGGGAACACCCAAAGTCCTAGGTTCGCTACCAGACAAATCACTTTTATTACCCTTTATACCTGGTCCTTCCCTTCCCGGCGGGAGATGAATGAGCCGTGCAGCTAGAAGGACTCAGTTATAAATCGAGACTCTGCCGCTCGTGATCTACGTGACCCGGGCACATCCCTGTGAGGCTGTTCCCTCACCTGTAGAATGAGGGTGATGATCGCACCTTCCCGCCCAGATTCCTGGGGGGTGAAATAGTCTTGCTCATGCAGAGCACCCAGGGCCTCGGTCCCCATTATCCGTTAGGCGCCCCAATGAAACAAGCCACTACGTGAACAAGAATCCTCTGCAGTCAACGGCAGAGCTGACTTACTTTCCACTCCTAGCCCCACGGAAGCCTCCTGAGATGTTTGTCAAAAATGGGGAAGTCCTGGGAGATCCCCCAAACCTGCCAAATCAGAAAGTCAGGGGAGTAGAGCTCGGAAATGTGCATTTATAAAATTTTTTGATGCTAATTTATTTTTGCGAGAGAGAGAAAGAGAGACAGAGTGTGAGCAGGGGAGGGGCAGAGAGGGAGGAAGATACACAATCTGAAGCAGGGTCCAAGGTCAGAGCCGTAAGCACAGAGCCCAATGCAGGGCTCAAACTCACGAACTCCAAGATCATGACCTGAGCCGAAGTTGGACACTCAACTGACTGAGCCACCAGGGCATCCCAGAAAATCCCAGAAAAATCAGGATTTTGACCGTGAGGGAGAGAGAAAGTGGGGACCCCACTGCCGGTCACCGGCAGAACAGCCTGTGGAGGCCTGACTTCCAGGGAACCGCACCTGGTGGGTGAACTCAGGTGTGTAAAACCCTGGACTCTGGAAACAAGTCCCCACTTACAAGCCAATTGACATGATCTTGGAGCTGCCACAAAATGGGGGTGACCGGTGCCTGTCTCCCAAGCGGGGTGGGCATCCGATAAGATTTTTCCAGATGCCCACCCCCATTCTAACCGTGGGAAGGCTCGGCCCACACCGACAGGTGTTTCCAACTGTGCCCGGCCCCTTATGGGCCAGCAGAACGGGGTGCACGTTGATCCGCGGCCTTTGACCTTTGTGATAAAGGCTGAAGGAGACACGCAGAAGAACAAGAGACCTAAAGAAAGGAAAGACGACCCTGGAGAAAGGCACAGCCTCGGACCCGGCTCTGAAGGGCTGGAGGGATGAGGACCAGTGAGAATAAGGGAGTTCGGCCTGAGCCCCAGCCCAGAGCCTGGTGCTCGACGCAGTGGACAAATGAGCTTGAAGGGTAAACTGAGGCTGGACATGGCGGCCCTGAACACCAGCGTGGACAGTCAGGAGTTTCTCTGCAAGTTAAAGCTTTGGGACCTAACTCCTTCCAGACATGTGTTTCCTTTGGCCCACAGAGTGGTTTTTTTTTTTTTTCTCATTTTGAAATTTTTCTCATTTTTATTATTTTTTAAGTTTATTTATTTATTTTGAGAGAAACTGAGACAGCACAAGTGGGGCAGCAGCAGAGAGCGATGGAGAGAGAGAGAATCACAAGCAGGCTCCTCACTGTCAGCACAGAGCCTGGACTCACAAAACTGTGAGCTCATGACCTGAGCCGAAACTGAGAGTCGGACGTTTAATGGACCGAGCCACCCAGGCGCCCCTTTTATCATGTTTTAATTGGATACCAACATTTAGACACGGAGAGTGGTCTCAGTCCTACTAGACTCTACGAGTCTCTGAAACCAGGGGGATCAGGCAGTGCTGGCCCCGCCTCTGGGAATATCACCCACTTTACCCACTGGATCCATAGGCGGCACGAGTTTGAGACCCCCGCCCTGACCTCTGGGTGCCTTGAGAGGACCCCGGTCCAGGGAGGGGCAGAATTAGAGCTGGGCTTCAGGTCCCTGCTCATGATGATTAACCCGAGTGATGGTGAGCCTGAGGGCGGGGAGATGAGGGAGGAGGAAGAATGGCTGATATTTACTGAGCTTTTCACAAGACAGAGCTCAGCGCTATGGGCTCTACACACACTCGCCCCAACCTTACGAGGTATGTGTGCTGTTCCCCCCATTTTTAGATGAAGCAACAGGCACAGAGAGGTGAAGTCACTTGCCTAAGGGCACACAGCTGGCAAGGGGCAGAGCTAGGTAGTCCGGATCTGGGACCCACAGCACTGGTGAGTTGGGGGTGGGTGAGCCTCCCTTGGCCCCTCACCTGTTTTCAAGCGCAAGGATGAGCCCCAGTTCTAGGTGGATCTGGACACTAACGCCCTGTGCTTTCTCCATCTGCTCTCAGGAGGGCCCAGAAGGCAGGCAGAGGGAGGCATTCAGAGCCAGATCAGGTGGCTTGGCGGCAGTCCCTGGCTCAGCCTTCTCCGCTGCTAACTGTGGACCTCACCGCGGGGACAAGCAGACCTCGAGAGAAAGGAAACCAACAGGGACAATCTCGTGCCACACCTGCAGTGTGGTCACAACCCACCACACCCAACACCCGTAGCATTTGCAAAAGAGAAAATAAAACACACATCCGTATAATAAACAACCCCGTGCGTTTCCTGGCATCAGGTGACGGCTTGGTCAAGAGCTTCCTGCCTCTTTGTGTACCTGCTGGACTTTCCTAACATCTTCCAGCTGCTGCTGGCTCCCGGTGGCCGATCACAAGCTCAGCCCCCGGGGCACAACCCCCGCCCCCACGGACAGCGCCACAGCGCCGAAGGATCCTAGGAGGCCAGTGCCAAGATCCGCCAGCCCTGAGCCCCAGGGCCACCCTCTGCCAGCTCAAGGTCACCTAGCTCCGACTCCTCCAGTGGCCGCCCGCTGGCTGTCCCGAGCCAGCCGGACCCCCCTCTGGGTCAGCTCCGCTCCGCAGGAACCAGAAACCGGGCCCTATTGGGCAATCATTAATCGGATTCTTGACATTCTTCAGCCCTGGGTCAGCTTGGGAAGCATGTTCCCCGGAAGAGGAGGGGCAGAGTCCCAGGACGGGCATCTGGACATGCAGCTGACAGGCAAGCTGGGGCTGTCCGCCGCTGTCCTGCTCCTGGTGACCGCAGCCTACAGGCTGTACAGGTTGAGGCCTGCCCAGGCCCCACTGGGGGGCAGGAACGCCAAGGCCAAAGCCGAGGAGGAGGAAACCCAGGGCTCCAGGCAGCCGGCGGTCCAGGGGCCTGTTCCCCGGGCACCACACCGGGCTCCGAGACGCCGGAGGGGAAGCCAGGGGGCCGGAGCACTGCTGGGCTGTGGCTGGGAGACTCAAGGGGGCTCCCGAGTCCTGGCAACAGGACCCTCTCCCGAAGACTCAGAAGCCCAAGAGGCTTGGGAGCCTGAGAAGAAGGGCGCTGGTGCTGAAGGGGGTGGGCAGGGCCCGGTCTCTGAGCTGCCCCCTCCTCGCCGCAGTGGCCAGGAAGCCGGAACAGCTGTTGGTGGTAAGCCCGAGCCGCCCCCCCACCCCACTCCGGGCAGCGAGCCCCACAGTTCCCCACCTGGCCTCGCTGTGGCAGAGGGGAGTGGTGCGGGTGCTGAGCCTGCCCCATGGCGGGACGATGGACCCCAGGGGCCACAGGGGCTCCGGGAGCAGGAGTGCTCCCCTACGAGCCTCATGGGGCAGGAGTGCTCCCCTGCAAGCCTCATGGGGCAGGAGTGCTCCCCTGCGAGCCTCATGGGGCAGGAGTGCTCCCCTACGAGCCTCATGGCCCCCAAGGAAGGCATGAGTGACATGAGCAGGAGTTCGGTCTTCACTCGCGTGACGGGGGTCCACAGGGGAGAGGCCGGGGCCCTCCAGGCCGCCGCGGACATGGGCCTCACCCTGCATCAGTGGGAGGGAGCCTCCAGCGCCTCCTACACCTACTCGTCTGTGTCCCGGCTCCGCGTGGAGGACAGTTTCATACCGGCAGAGGGGATCGGACCCAGGCTGAAGGGCAAGGTGTATGATTACTATGTCGAGTCCATTTCCCGGGCCACCTCCAAGGGCAGGCTTGCCCCCAGGACAGCTGCCCCGGCTGAGGCCCCACTCCCCGTGGCCCCGCCAGATGCCCCAGGAACAGGGGCCCCTTCAGGAGGCCGGGAACATGGAGCCGAAATGCCCACGACCTCCCAGCCTGCGCCGTCGCCCTCCACACAAGGCTTCAGCAGGAAGCCGAGCCTCCTCCGCATCACAGAGAACCCGGAGCTCCAGCTCCAGCTCGATGGCTTCGGGGCTCCCGCTCCATCCTGCCCAGACCAGGGTCCCCCACCCGGCCACCCCCTTCCCCAGGCTTCCCTTGGGTCTTGTTCAGCCCAAAGCGGTGGGGAGCCCCATGTAGAGCTCGTGGCGGGGACCAATTTCTTTCACCTCCCGCTGGCCACCGGCTCAGCGCTGGACATGAACCTGGATCTGGGCAACTGCTACCAGGTGCTGACCTTGGCCAAGAAGCAGAAGCTGGAGGCGCTGAAGGAAGCAGCCTACAAGGTGATGAGTGACAACTATCTCCAAGTGCTACGCAGCCCGGACATCTACGGGCGCCTGAGCGGGACAGAGCGGGATCTGATCCTCCGCCGTCGCCTGCGGGGCCGCAAGCGCCTGGTGGTGGCCGACGTGTGCCCCCAGGAGGGCTCCGGCCGGCTCTGCTGCTATGAGGAAGAGCAGGACGCCTGGCACCCGCTGGCCCGTCTGCCCTCCGAGGCCATGTCCCAAGGTTGTGCCCTCTGCAGTCTCTATAACTATCTCTTCGTGGTGTCCGGTTGCCGGGGGTCTGGGCACCAGCCCTCCAACCGCGTCTTCTGCTACAACCCACTGACCGGGATCTGGAGCGAGGTGTGCCCGCTGAACCAGGCCCGGCCGCACTGCCGGCTGGTGGCCCTGGACGGCCACCTGTACGCCATTGGGGGCGAGTGTCTGAACACGGTGGAGTGCTATGACCCCCGCCTGGACCGCTGGACCTTTGCACCGCCGCTCCCCAACGAGACCTTCGCCCTGGCGCACACGGCCACGGCGTGTGCCGGCGACATCTTCGTCACGGGCGGCACCCTGCGCTTCCTGCTGCTCCGATTCTCGGCCAGGGAGCAGCGCTGGCAGGCCGGCCCCACGGGGGGTGGCAAGGACCGCACAGCCGAGATGGTGGCTGTCAACGGCTTTCTCTATCGATTTGATCTCAACCGCAGCCTGGGCATCAGCGTGTACCGCTGCAGCGCCAGCACCCGCCTCTGGTACGAGTGCGCCACGTACCGGACTCCCTACCCAGACGCCTTCCAGTGCGCCGTGGTGGGCGACCTCGTCTATTGCGTGGGGCGCCGCCGCTCGCTCTGCTTCCTGGCTGACCACATCTCACCCAGGTTTGTGCCCAAGGAGCCGCGGAGCTTCCCCTCCCCGCAGGGCACCCTCCTGCCCACCGTCCTGACCCTGCCTGTCCCCGATGTGCCTCAGACCAGTGTCTAGCTACCCCGGCCACTGGACTTCTCCTGCACAACTGGGAAGCGAAAAGCACCCTCCCCCCCCCTTTCCTCCACTCTGTGGGTCATTTCTGGGCGAGCAGGCAGCTCAGGAGTTTGGCCAGCGAGAGGGGAATTCTAACTCTACCTCCTCCTCTGGCCGGGGCTTCCGATGCATCTCTGCTGCCCGTGGGGTGCGGAAGAGCAGTGTGAAAATAGAACCAGGGACCAGTGTCGCTGAGGGCAGCACTGTGTGCGGGGATGGGCACCATCTTGCTTCAACTCTGACTTCTTGGGGGAAGGGGTATCAGGACCCCACCAAAGTCCAGGGGCACAGCCTTCCTGCAACCACAGTTCAGGTGCCAGCTGACCCCCAATATAACTCTTCAAGCCCACCCTGCTGGAGGTGGGCCAGCCCTCTATAAGCCACCAGGCTCCCCTCTGAAACATTAGCCACTGAGCCCCTACCTCCTGGGTTCCCAGAAGCACCTGGAACACAAAAGGAGGGTGTTTCTGGCTATGCCGGGAGCCCCAGGGAGCCCCCAGGGGTCCCACCAGAGGAGAGATGGTTGGAGAAGTTCAACAGCTATAGTTGGAGCTGTCCATGGACTCTTCTCTGCAGAGCAAATTGACCATTACCCACTTCTCCTTACCTAGAACTCTAGTCTAGAAGAAATTCCTGTTAGCAGCCATTTGAAAACATCTTGTACTGGTCTGCTAAGAACACCAGTGGCTGCCACATATGGGGTTTCAGGAGTGGGAGGAGAAGACATGACCTGAGGGCCACCATCCTCCTGGGCCCTTGCTTGGGCCCATTGCTGACTGACCACTGCCTCCCTCCCTGCATTTCCCGAGCCTGCACATACTGCATCCAATCAGCACAGCCCTGACATCGGAGCAGTGGGAGGGGAGTGAGGGCAGCCACTCCCAGGCACCCCGCCAGGGCTGGGGAGAGACGATGGCATCATTTGCTCTCCCTGTGCCATGTGATCACCTGGTGTGCCTGGTCAGACAGCAGACCGGGGAGGGACAGGCCTGTGAGGGAGCTGAGGAAGGAGAAAATTCTAGTGGAGCATCTAGTGGACACTGGGATCTCCTCCCACATCAGGGTGGGTGAATCTGTAAAGGACAGAACTCCCCCCCACCCCCGCCAACCTCAGGAAGTTGCCCGTTCTTCCTGAAAGGAAGAGAGAGAGACTGGCCTGACCTATTGCCACAGCCCCGTTCCTGGGTTGAAGGTGACACATATACAGACAGAGGGGTGGCGAAGCTCTCTGGGCCGGCCGGGAGCCAGGGCAGCTGGGACTCTTCTAAAGTGACAAGCCACCTGGAGGGGAGAAGTGGAGACGGGGGTGCAGCAGGGCAGGCCCGACAAACAGGGAGCTCAGGACGCTTCGGACTTCGGCGTTCCTACCTTGAAAATGGGAAGGAACATTCATGGCCTTCTCTGGCCAGAGAAACAAGAACACCTGGAGAAAGTTCTCCCCAAGGCCCCTTGGGGGTCTGGGCAGGAGCCCGCGTTCACAGCAGCTGCTGGGCTGAGCTGAGACCTTCCTGGAAAATGAAGGAATAACAGCGAGGTTGGCATGGAGACGAGAACTTTATTGGACCCCTCGAAGCCATCACCCCCATTCTAGGGCCTGGAGGGCGAGGCTGCCTGGTGTTTATTCCTAAATCGGAGGTGGGGAGAGGACGGTGAGTTGGGGCTATGGCTGGAGCCTGGTGACCCTACCCCACCCCCGAGGCAGTGCTCAAGCATGAGCCTCCAAGGGACCCTTGGTGCGGAAGGGGTGGTAACTCAGTGTCAGGATGTCAAGCTGCGGTTTGCTGGGGAGGTGAACCCACTCTGGCAGCTGAGGGCAGGTGAAGCCATACCCAGTCCCCAAGGGCAGGCCGCCATCGAGGGGCCAGGCCAAGCAGGGGGATTGTGGGGGAGGCTCCAAGCCAAAAGGGCACTAGGGATCCCTCCAGAAACCTTTCAGAGCCCTGCTGCAAACACCTGGCTGGGACCAGGGAGTCAAATCCAGGGACAAGGCAGAAGAGTTCATTACATACCCAGTGATGGTGTGGGTGTGGTCTTCATGATGAACGAAGCTCCGAGATCCATCTTCCTCCCTGTGGTCCCTCACAGACATCACTAATCGACTGGCCTATCTTTTCCTGTTGAGCCTCAGAACTGGTCCAACCTGGGCCCTCAGCCATCATCACTGATAGGTTAGAGCTGGTGTGTTCCTCGTAGCTGGCCTGGTCTCTAGAACGGGCTTTAGGGAAGGGAAGCGAGTGGTCAGGGCCTTCATGGTAGGGCAAGGTAGTTCAGGGAGCCCACAGACTCCACGTGGGGCCATGACACTCAGGATTCTGAGTCATGACTCATGACACTGACGACCGTTTAGGCTGGGCACTGCTCTGAGCACCATGCTGGGAATGCAGCAGAGCCCTGCCCTTACAGAGCTCACTTTCTGGTGGAGGAAAACGGGCAATTTTAAAAAATAAATGCATAGGGGCCTGGGTGGCTTAGTCAGTTAAGCGTCCGACTTTCACTTAGGTCATGATCTCGCGGTTCGTGGGTTTGAGCCCCGTGTCGGGCTCTGTGCTGACTGCCAGCTCAGAGCCTGGAGCCTGTTTCAGAGTCTGTGACTCCCTCTCTCTCTGACCCTCCCCTGCTCACACTGTCTCTCTATCTCTCCTAGAAATAAATAAAACATTAAAAAAAACAATTAAAAAAAATAAATGCATAGGGGCACCCAGGTGGCTCAGTCAGTTAAGCATCCGGCTCTTGGTTTCGGCTCAGGTCATGATCTCAGGTGCATGGGTTTGAGCCCTGCATCGGGCTCTGCACTGACAGTGCAGAGCCTGCTTAGGGTTCTCTCTCTCTCCCTCTTTCTCCGCCCCTCCCCTGCTCTCTCACTCTCTTCCTCAAAATAGGTAAACTTAACATTTTTTTTAAAAAATTGAAAAAAAAAATGCACAAACAAATGACTAGAAAGCGCAACTTCCTGAGGGGTCCATTATGTGCTGGGAAGACAGAGAAGGCCGGGAAGTAGAACAGTGTGGTCAGACCTCCCTGATTAGGGGACAAAGTGCAGAGCCCTGGATGGAAATCCGAGAAGTGCACAGACCAGGGCTGGGTCATGGCACGGGAAGGCTGGCCCTGCTACGGGACTGGGGGAGCTTCATCGCCCGGCCAGGGAGGGCAGGACCGTCCCCAGGGAGCTCCACCCTGGAGCGTGAAGACGGCAGGAGCCCAGCTGTTGGGCGGTAGCCATTCACAAGCCGGAGAGAACCCCCTTGCAGCCAAGGTTAAAGAAAGAGGCTCCTTGCACGGGGTTAGCTCTATTCCCAGGAGGGAAGCGGAGTTCACACAGTGACACCCTGAGTGCGCGGCTGCGCATCAGCCTGCCTGTGATACTCCGTGGGGTCAGAGTCTAGGATTTCCACTTGACCTTCTTTAACAGCCTTGTCTGTCGACCTCTGGCCCTCAGCCTCGCAGGGGCCCGTGCGTTACTTGGCTACTCCCTGATTCATCAGCCCTGCTGTCCCATGAAGTTTCTTCTTGAAAACATAACAGAAAACAACCCCTTTGAGTCTGGGTCACTTTCCTCGTTAGGCCAACCACGGCATTATAGGAAAGGAACTTGGAAAATAGAAAAAGCACGAAAAACATCTCTTCGGTTTCAACAGCCAGAGACAACCTCCTCCTCGCGGCCCTCTGTCCTGTCTCTTCTGAGCAGAGTTTCTGTCTGGCTTGAGTTTTGCCTACGTGTGATTCTGCTGAATGTACTGTTTTTTGTTTTTGTTTTTGTTTTTTTTCGCTTAGCATTTTAGAATACGCATTTCCCGCGTTGCTACAAACCCTCGGTAAACACCATCTCGGTGGCTGTGTGGTGCCCCACGGAGGGGCTGTATCGCGCTTTCTTTAAGCAGTCCCCCCTCCTGTTGGGCCTGTAGGTTTTCGTTTCCCCCCTGTCGGTTTCTTTTTCCATCATAAATAAACGGTCCTTTGTTTTCTCGTTCCTCTCTGTCTGGGGCCTCCATCAATATTTACAGGAGGAGCTCAGTCTAGAGCTTGTCTGGAGGACGTGGTTGCTGAAGTGAGGCCACAGCATTTGCCTAGGGCTGGGGTCCAGGCTCGGACTGTAGGGCCCCAGGGCTGCCCTTGGAAATGCCCAGGCCACCGGGAACTGTCTGGAGGGACAGTCCTTATGGTGTTCCTGGAGCCGAGATGTAAGGTAGGGGTCATATTTACAGAGCCCCTGCTCTGCATGTACAAAACACTGGACTAGATGCTTTCTACACATCACTTCCTTCATCCTGACAACAACTCCATTTTACAGGGAAGGAGACTGAGGCTTACAGAGTTGAAGGAACCTCACCCTCATGGCAAAGTTCAAAGACCCTCAGTTTCCTTCAAAGCACACTTGAACCTGGCCTGCTCATTACACTCACTCTCTGCACCATGCTCTTTCCACTCCCCTCTCATGGAGCACCGGTGGGGGCCAAGGACTTGGCATCAGCCATTCCCTGGGCTTCCTCCAACCCCTCCCCTGCTCACACCGACCCCACAGGCTCTGTCCTGAAACTTTCAACTCAAAGACATTAGGCTTAAACTCTCGGATCCTCCATGGCTGTGTCTGTAAAATGGGTTTGCCACTGCCAGCCTCAAGACGAGGTCGTACGAACTAGCGAGAGAACGTATGTAAAGCACCGGGCCCAGGGACGGCTCCAGAGTAGGTCTCGGAAGTACCATCAGCTTCTGCAGGGGCGAGGAGACCCACTCCCCTTTGAGCACCCTGGCCTCAGAGGAAGGTTGTTCGACATTGAAGCTGCAGGAGCCCAGTCTGGTTTGACAGGGGGGGGGGGGGGGGGGGGGGGGGGGTGCTCCAGTTACTCCTATTCTGCACCCTCCAGGTCCTGAGAATCTGAGCCTGTGCTCTCCTCCACGGTAGGTGACTTGCTGATTTGAGTTTCCCCCGACTCAAAGCATTAAGCGTTTTCCCAGTGCAGCGGATGGCGCAGAAGGGTTTCAGAAGGTGCTCAGAGCTCCCTGGAAACCTCAAGAAGGTGCAATGGCGGGGGCACCTGGGTGGCTCAGTCGGTTAATCGTCCGACTTCGGCTCAGCTCATGATCTCACAGTTTGTGGGTTCAAGCCCTGCGTCGGGCTCGTGCTGACATCCAGCTCAGAGCCTGGAGCCTGCTTCTAATTCTGTGACTCCCTCTCTCTCTGCCCCTCCCCTGCTCACACACACTCTCTCTCTCTCTCTCACTCTCAGAAATAAATAAATAAATAAATAAATAAATAAATAAGAAGGTGCAATGGAGAGGGGGCTCCTCTCTTTGACAGATTGGGGGGAGAGTCCCTCGGAGCCACTGGACCACTGTGCACTGTGTCTGGCCTGCAGATATTTAGAGTTGACAGGTGCCGCTCACTTCCCGCCTTTGTCTTCCTCACCAGGAAGAGCCTCGTGGCCCCAAGGCCGCCCTGCAGTCCCCTGAAGCTCTGGCCTCAGCCGGAAGGAGCCTCCAAGGCAGATGAGGCATAGATGTGAGGCTCCGCAGAGGCAGGGGATGGAAGAGAAGGGAGGGGACACCCGCCGGGGACGGGAGATTAGGAGGGAGGCTCAGAGCAGGCAGCTGGAGGGCAGTCTCTGGAACAGCTCTTTGGAAAGTGGGATGTGTGTCAAAATAAAACAAACATAAACAGTGGCTGGTGGAGTCTGGGTTTCCTTTGGGTGTGTGGGGAGGAGGTGGAGGCATGGATCTTACATGGAGAATAATACCCGTGTCCCCACGCCAGGCTCTGTAACCCCGCGTGGGGACAGCACCGCCTGAAAGCGACCATCCTCATGATGTAGGGGAGGAAACAGACAAGGCAGTTCACAAAAAATTAAAAATCTCCAAAAAAAAAAAACCTAGGAGAAATATGGGGCGCCTGGCTGGCTTGGTCAGTAGAGCATGCAGCTGTTGATCGTGGGGTCGTGAGTTCAAGCCTCACGTTGGGTGTAGAACTTACTTAAAACAAAACGAACAAAACAGAAGAGAGAACTCTAGTCTTTCTCAACACATCTCTTGAGCATCCGCAATGCTAATAGGCACTGCACCTGTAGGATCTTGTTTATACTCAAAACAACCTGCTAGATGGTAAAACTGGTTAAGCTGTCCCCATCTGTCAACTCCTGCACCCCTGAAATCTGGCCGTGGGACTCCCTCCGAATAGCCTGGGCTTTGGGTTTGCTCTCTTGCGGCCCTCGTCGAAGCCCTGAGACAGTCCCCACATGAGCAAGCCCAGGTTAATCAGCAGGACGATGATTACCAGTGTGGCCTAGTTACCAGTGCCCTCAGTTAGCAAGTCCAGCACATGCCCCTAGCTGACCCCAGATGCCTGCCTGAGCCCCAGCAAGACCGGCAGACCCGCTGCCCGGGCCCAGCTCAAAGTGCCAATCCATGGAGTCACGAGTGAAATAGAGAGTTGGGGTTTTAAGCCACTGTATTTCAGGATTTGCAACTCAGCACGAGGTGAGTGACGCATCAGCCCTGGGCTGCAGACACAACCACCACCATGTTGTGCTTCAAGGAAGCTAGGATTTGAGAAAGTAAAGTAACTTTCCCAGGATCGTGCAGCAGCATGGTGGAGACGCAGGGACGCCACCCCAGGCCTGCCCGACTCCAAGCCCTGTACCCATCCTCCAGCCACACAGTTGCGCTCTGTTCTAGCCAAAACCAGGGCACTGAGTTCCTCCTGGGCGCCTGGCCAGGGGGCGTGGTGCTCAGCCCCCCGCCATTCCCAGGAGGGCTAGGTTGCCACCAAGGACCCAGGACCCAAGGTCCATAGGGGGACGGCTCCTTGAACAATCAGACCAGCTCCTGAGGCCCAGGGCCTGCTCTATGCATCTGACTGCCAGTAATTCTTTAATTCTAAAGACAACCCTGTGTGTTCGATACTTTACCTTCGCACAGAGGAAGAAACTGAGGCACAGAGAGTTGAAGTAACCTGCCCACAGTTGCACAGCCAATATGGGGTTGAGCTCATGAACGCCAGGAGATGAGTCAGCTCCAAACAAGGAAGAGCTTTGCTTCCTGCCCTCACCTAACACTCCCCCGACCGGAACATGGCCACCAGGGGCTTCGCCCGCCTTGTTAGTGACACTTGCCCAAAGAAAGAATAAGAGTGGCAAGGACCCCGCCATGAAACTACCTGCTTTCAGGCTGCTGGGACCCCCTCTCCGTCTCCAGGGGTCTAACCCCCTGCTGATAATCCTGTGGACTCCCTAGAACATCCTCATGAGTTCGGTCCCTGGGGGTGAGGGCTGGAAATCTAAAATCCTGAAGCCTCTTGCCAAGAGCCAGGACCCTTCTCGTTGCCTTATTCCATACTTGCATTCACTGCGTTTATCCAGAGATTTCAAATCTTTCATCATCCCATTTCACAGATGAAGGAAGGGAGGCTCAGAGAGATCTCGCAGCGGTGATGTCATCACTCATCCTTCAAGGTCTTGGAAGCTGGTATGGGCCTCCCACCCCCTAAACTCCCACTCCCCCATCGGGGCACCAC